TCTTGGCCCCCGCCCTGAATTGGGCCCCCCCCCCCCCCCCACACACACACAACCTGCAAGAAGAAATGAAGGCAGCTTCTCAGACTGATCCCCTGTCCCCGAGATCAGGTGCCTCAAACCTCAGGCGATCAGCGTGAGGTTACTGAAGCTATTAGTATTGCTTGAGAAGCACAGCCCCTGCCAGCCTGGGCAGGACACCACAGGGCAGCCTGAGACGGAAACTTTTGCTGGCAGTGAGAAGTCAGTCTCTGGCCTTTCTCCTGCAAACAGAGCGTGCACAGCATAACCTGGTCACCAGAAGCCTTGTCACCTGTCCTGCTAACCAGCTTGCATGAGAGGGCTCTCTCCCCGTCAGCCTCTGGAGAGCTGCTGGAAGGAGCAGTGGGATGCCTCCACCCCTGGATCCCTCCCTCTTCACCTCTGCAGTTCAGGAGGAAGGGGCCCTACTACAGAGGGTGGCTCTGTAGAGGGAGAGGGACCACAGCAGGATTTGTTCCTTCCTCAGGCCCTGCTGAGGTGTGGGGGAAGGTTGCACCCCCGCTATCCTCAGGGGACTCTTTAGCACTCTGTAGCCCATTCTTGCTGAACAACAAGGATGGAACAATCAACCCCTACAATGCCGCATTTGGCTCCGCACAGGCCAAAAAGCCTGTTTGGGGCTCAGTGTGGTTGAGCAGCTGACTTGGACTGGGAAAGGAGTCTGCCCCAACCAGCCTGGGTGGGCTGGGACAGTGGCTCCCAGGTAAGGGGTCTGCAAAGCCATCTCTTATTCTTAACCAGGTCCCTTTTCTCACCCTGTTTGTCCTGCATAGACGGCGCCGAGGCAGACTGCTGAGGGCTGGAGCTAGAACAGCAGGCAGCTTGAAAGTATGCCCAGCTGTTCTCGGGGACCACATTGTGCCCTCCTTCACAGGACTCTGGGGAGGCTCACGGAGAGCAGAACCTTTGCATGGCCATGCGCTTCCTTTGGGAGACCTGCTTTCTCTACAGCAATGTTATCAAAAGGCCACACTCCCTCAAGGAGCCAGCGTTGGCCACTGGCACCGCACTCCAACACTGAGGTCCTGCTCTCGGTGCTCACTCTGCTCTCACCTAGTTTCTGTTGTTCCTGACCCAAGACGCTGTGGTTAAAGGAGGATTTAACACCTCTGTTCTTCTCAGAGCTTACAACGGCCGCCAGGGCAGAGATGCCGTTCAAAACTGGGTACCACTAATCTTCTTGCTCCGGTACAATGATACAAATTATAAGGGAACTATTAAGATCCCATATTTGATACTTTATGCTACATGGTCTGAAATACTGATCTGCTACAGTATTACCACGATACAAGCTATTTTCCTGTCTAGTAGACCATTTCATAAATTGTTCTTCTACCTCAAAGGCCAGCTTACAACATCCAGTTTAAAGCATCTTTCAAAAATAAAACCAGCTGTCAAATCTTTTGATCTTGACTTTAAGTGTTGTTAAATTAAAGTCCCACAGATATAAAGAGCACAACTCATGAGAACTGAGCTTTCCCTGATATATATTCAAGCCTGCTTTGGAGAATGGACAAATGTTTTACAACCTAAATGACTTGTGCTGCCATCTCATCAACCAGAATGAGATGCGGCTATCCCAAGAATTACGCAGTCAGCGGCTATTTCATCAGGAGCATGTCAGGGACCTCTTTGCTCAAGGCATCACTACACATCAGCAGGGATCCTGGTTTTCTCTGATTTAAAAAAAAAACCCAATTTTCATTTAAAAAAAAAAAGTAACCCCAACCCACATTTTTCTGTGATTTAAATGAAACGCTACCAATACACAGATATACATACAGTGGTATTTCATTTTAATCATGGAAAAGTGTGGATTTGGGGTAACTTTTTTTTAACTGAAAACTGGGGGGAGGGTTTAAACCAGAGAAAACCAGGATCCCTGCACATGAGACAGCCCGAGTCCTCTTCCTAACACTGCCACTGACCTGCTGCATCATGTTGGGCAAGTTTACACAATATTAAGCGGTGAGAAGAAAGTCAACAGGGATTTATTATTTACTCTTCTCTCGATACAAGAACTCAAGGTCACAAAATGAAATGAGTAGGTCCTAAGTTTAAAACTGACAAAAAAAAAAAAAAGATCCTTTTTTCACCCAGCAAGTTGCTAACGGGTGAAAGTTGTTGCCACCGGAGGTGGTGGAAGCTGACAGCTCAGCCAGAGTCAAAAAGGGACTGGACCCATTCTTGAAGGAAAGCTGCACCAGGAGCTTTGAGGATAGGAGTGATGGGCATGGCTTTTGAATAACAACATCCTAGATCTTCAATGCTGGAGGCTGCATGTAGGAGAGGAGCTGGGGAAAACCCTGGTTACACCCAGCTCACTGGCCCTTTCAACATCTGCCCTTGGCCTGTGCCACAGGCCTTTTTGCAATGCCATGGGGAAAAACATGGGCGAAGGCCCACAGGAAAACACGAGAAGTCCCCCTTTATCAGGGAGTTCACTAAAGACATAGCAGCTAAATACAGGGACAAATAAAAAGAACTGAGGAAAGGAGTGTGGGTCACAGATCAACAGTGAGGGATCTGGAAGGGGACACCAGGCAGAGCACCCCGGCCAGCATGTAACACAGGAGACCGGGTAAAACAGGCCCACCGTCTGACCAAGGCAATGGCAGCGCTGACGGGCTACAATGCTCTCAGCTACTTCACCTCTGCCTCAGTTCCCCCCTTGTCTAACGGGGGCACGACTCTTCTCCTGTGCAAAGCGCTGCGCAGCCACGGGCCCAGGACAAGCAGGGTTTCAGCGCAACCCGGGAGAGTCCACCCGACCCCAACGTTATGATGTGGAAACCCAACAGCCCTGGGGAGAGGGGCAGGCGAGACCCACAGCGCTGCCCGTGCCACCTGGCTGCACGCGTGATGGACACGGGCAGGTTTGTTCCCCCTTAGCAGCTGGGGCACAGCACGGAGCCCCCTGGGTGGGTGGGAAACCACTGGGGCTTTGTAGCAGGGTGGGTTCCCCCTTCCCCGCCCCCATGCAGACCACTAGGAGGGCATGGAGGGGAGAGACCCTTGGAGGGAGGGGGGCAGGGCAGCACCTTGGAGACTAATGGGATTGGGGGGCGGGGCTCAGGCCTGGAGACCCCACCCCCATTACAACCCCCAAATGGTGCCTAGGGGCTGCACCCAGGACCCTGGCCCCCCTCCCATCATGCCCCTGGGTGCTGCCTGCCCCCCACACACACAGCCTACCCCCCCTCCCATCATGCTCTAGGGCACCTCCCCTTACACACAGCCCATCCCCCACTCCCATCATGCCCTGGAGTGCCCCCCCATACACAGCCTACCCCCCCTCCCATCATACCCTGGGGTGTTCTCCCCCCAGCCTGCCTCACTCCCATCATGCCCTGGCGTGCTCCCCCCATACACAGCCTGCCTCCCCTCCCATCATGCTCTGAGGCACCTCTCCTTACAGCCTGCCCACCTCTCATCATGCCCTGGGGCGCCCCCCCACACAGCCTGCCCCCACACCTCCCATCATGCCCCGGGGTACCCCCGCAAGCGGCTGCCCCCCTCCCATCATGCCGCGGGCGCTCCCACCCGCCGCCTCCCCCAGCCGCACCTCCTTTGGGCATCGCGACGGTGATGGCGGCTCCAGCGGCAGCTGCAGCGAGAGCCCCCAAAACCCCGACCCGGAAGCGGAAGCCGCCCAACCCTGGGCTGCAGCGCGCGGCGCGGGTCCTTGCCAGGCCCCTCAGGGCAGGGCTGTCCACGGCAGTGCCTGACCACTAGGTGTCGCCGGCCCGGGCCCTTCACCACAGCGCTAGTGGGGAAGCCTCTATCCACCCGACCTCAAGCAGCGACCCCGCGCGGAGAGTCCGGGGAGTTTTGTCCCAGGCGTCGCAGAGGCCACCCAAGGGGAGGCAGAGGCTGCCGCGCAATAACCCTGAGACGTTAAAGCGACTGCAAAGACGAAGGACCCCGACCGGTGACGTCATAGCAAAGCCGCCGTGCTGAGAAGGCGGAAGTGCCGCCGCCGGACCGGTGAGTGGGGCCCTGGCCGCGGCGGGAGCGCGGGTCTCCGCCCTGCAGCATTGTCCTTAGATATAAGCTGTCACGTCATGAGTGCTTGAATCGGGCCGAGCCTGTCTTCCCTGTGTTAAACATGCCTTAAGAAGCAGCAAAACTCATATTGTTTGGGATTGGCCAAATGTGGGGTTTTGGGGGGGTTTGAGGGGAGAAAAACAAGCAAACGAGGTCGTTTTAGTGCGGTTATGGAACAGGGAAACCAGCAACCGACACAGCCCCGCGCTGTTCTCGGTCCTGACGCTTGTGAGGCTGGCATTGGTTTTCCTACGTGTTTCATAATTGCTGTTTTACATCTGACCCATCGGCATTTTGGGAAGCCTAATGGATCTGGGAATACCAAGCCCTGCAGAAGGGTGAGGAATTAAGAGCATTTTAAATGAACTCCCCAAAAAAGCAGGGGTTTGTGAATGAACGGAGAGGAGGGGTTTATGTTTCTCCAAATACACGTTGCTACGGCACTTGCAAAAAGTAGCTTGAGGATCAGGTTGTTGCTTCACTTCTTTGATCCTTAATTTCCACAGTTTCCAAATGGAAAAGTTATTTTTTCTGCTAAAGTGGGGGACAGAGGGGAACAGAAAAAAACATAGACAAAAAGCTCCTATGTCTTCCTATTACCTAGGGTGACTGTAGGCCCCAGGTCGGCTGGGACAGTCCCAGGTTTTGTAGGCTGTCTCGACACAACAGCCGTTGGAGAAGATTCAAGCAAAAGTCCCAGATTGGTAGGAGCCATGAGGCTGTGGCTCTGTGTTTGTGTGTGTGCGCATGGTGCTGTCCCCCGGGGCCCTGCTCTTGGGAGCTGCGGGGGTGCGAGCAGGCAGGGCTGGAGCAGCTGTTGGGACACAGGGGAGTGCAGTGGTGCCTTTGCCACTGGAGCCAGGATGCCAGCTGGAATGGGAGCCCTGCATGACCTTTGGCTGCTCCACACTGACCACATCCTGGCTGTGCATGTGCACCCCTGGGCTGGGCTGGGCCAGCCGCATTGCAGCCCCCATGCAGAGAGCCCAGCCATGCCCTGCCCTAACCAGGGTGGTGGGCACATGACCAGGATGTGGCTACAGCTGCTGTGATGGGGCTGGAACTACGAGTCAACCAGAGCTCACATAGTATCCCCAGCTCAGCTGGCATCACATCCCCAGTGCAAGAGGCACCACACTCCCCAGCACATCCCAGGCCTAGGCTATAGCTCTGCTGACAGGCACCATGCTCCCACCACCTGCACCAGTCCTGCACGCTGCTACACCCTGACCTAGTGCGCACAGTGTGTGTGCGCACAATACACCCCCCCCACCTTCCCCTCCGATTTTCTTAAAATACTTACGGTCTCCCTACTTTTACCAACATGGTGTCATGATATCAAGGTATCTGGAAATCTGAGCCTGAAAATCTGCATTTGCCCAGTTGCTTTCCAGAGCTCGCAAAGCAAGAAGATGCCTAAAGTGAAGAGAAGCAGGAAGCCTCCTCCAGATGGCTGGGAACTGATTGAGCCAACACTGGATGAGCTGGATCAAAAGATGAGAGAAGGTAAGCAACAAAGGTGCGCTCCACTCAAGATCTGAGACTGCTGCAGGGCAGGGTGGAGGTACACCTTCGTATCTCTACAGGGAGCAGCTTGCATAGCAAAGTCTTGCACTGTTTGGTTCTAGTCTGCTACCACTCTTGTTCTTCTAGAGACTTAAGATGTTTCTTCATACCTGCCTTGTCCATGATGCCTATTACCTTCTGATCTTGTTCAACATCTCTCATTTTTACCCCCCTGTGCAGTGAATCCTATTTTTCTCCACAAACCTTAAACTGCAGATTTTTCTCAGAGCACTGGCTCTTTATGGATACATAAGGGTACACTGACTCGTAGGCTAAAAGATGCAAGTGAACCGAGATCCAATTTTTGTGTCCTTTTGTTCTCAGCGGAGACGGAGCCTCATGAAGGAAAGAGGAAGGTGGAATCCCTGTGGCCTATCTTCAGAATTCACCATCAGAAAACACGTTATATCTTTGATCTTTTCTATAAGAGGAAAGCTATTAGCAGAGGTAAGAAGCCAAATTACTTGCTCTTGCAGTGAGATTATCACAGTCTTAGTGTGCGGTGCCTGAGTAACTAGTCAGTGGATGGAAACCTGAAAGTTACAGTTGGGAAAAGATTAAAAAAATCAGCATGTGTTTACTAGGGGTGTGCAAAGCGGGCAGTACTCTATTCTGATTTGGCCCAGTTCAGGGGACAGTGATTCGATTTGCTGATTCGGATCACTGTCCTGATTCAATTTGGCTGAATCTGAAAATTCGATTCCGATTTGGAGAACCAGTGGTTCGGCCATGGGGACAGCTTTATACATTTTTTTTCGACGAACCTCAAGGTATTAGGTGTGGCTCGTGAACATGGAGATGGAGTGTCCCACGGGAGTGCGGGGGGGTCCCCCACACACTCGGCAGCAGACCCCAAAGAACTTCCAGTCCACTTCTGGGTCCACCGCCGAGCACATGGGGGGGCCCCTCCCCCACACACATTCCCACTCCTGTGGGACGCTCCATCCATCCATCCCACCATCTCAGCATTCACAAGCTGTGCCTGGTACCTCGAGGTTCATAGAAAAAACATAAAGCTGTGTCTATGGCCAAATTGTCAAATCTCTCTGACTCTATTGGGAGAGATTAATGGGTCTCCCGAGTAGATTCAGTCGCTGAATTGAGCCGAATCTCCTCAGAATAGAATCAGTGACTGAAGCTTCGCACAATCCTAGTATTTACCTCAGCTTAGTTCCAGTTGTTAGCAAATGAAGCCAGTAAGAACAAGATACAGAGCAGAGATTAATGCTTTCAAATTAGTGAGGACAGGTAAAAGTACAGTCTGGTGCTTACCTACTACTACTTGTCTGCAGAGCTGTATGAGTACTGCATCAGAGAAGGATATGCTGACAAAAATCTGATTGCAAAGTGGAAGAAGCAGGGCTATGAGAACCTCTGCTGCCTGCGTTGCATTCAGACCCGGGATACCAACTTTGGAACGAACTGCATCTGCAGGGTCCCAAAAAGCAAGCTGGAAGTGGTAAGAAAAGATTGGCTCTGCTCCTAATCCCAGGTAACAGAGTCTTACTATGCTTTTTGGCCAAACAGTGGTAAGAATGTAAGAATAGAACAGATCTCCTGGGTTGTCCAGTCTAGGCTCCTGCCATGAGTGACTGGTGCCTCCTGAATCTGGGGCACCCACAGAAGCCACTGTTGGCAGCGGCCCTGTGGGGGGTGGGCACCAGCCCTACCAACAGCATCAGTGTCCCCCATCAGGGGGGGCACATGCACCCCTGTGCACGCTCTACCAGTCATGTATGGCTCCTGCTGTTGTATGACTCAGATTCTGCGAAGTGCCTGCAAAGTTCAAGTGCCCATAGGCCATTGCTTATAGCACTATAGGCTTCTGTGACCCTTCTTGATAATTTTGATGGTAATTTCTGAACAAGAATGCCTAAAGGCAGCCAAAAAGCATACCTAATAAAATCTCACCTTATTCAAAAGGAGTTTTTCTCCAGCTTGAGCATCTGGCTTCCTGGACCAGGTATTTTTCTCTCTTCAAAAACACCTGCTCTCTGTGTAAGGTGGTGATTAGGATGTTTGTTTTTTATTTTATAGGGGAGAATCATAGAGTGCACTCACTGTGGATGCAGAGGTTGCTCTGGGTGAGAAGTCTTTAAATACTGGACACTGCTTTTGAGTATTGATTCTACACCTTGGACTGTTGCAGCTAAATTTGTCTTCTGTAAGCCCTACAGTGAGTGGACCTTTCCAGATAGCATTTGGAACAGCAATGCATTCACCTGGATCTGTAAACTCAGCAGTGAGCTGTCTTTGATTAGTTGTGTGTAACCATGTGATTTTTAAAATAAAATAAGAACTGTGTACAACTCGTCACAGTCTTGTGATAGAGAACTTCAAAGGACTGATTTATCTACACACATCCCTTCCCCAGGAAGTGGAATGGCTCTTAACTGAGCTATCCTGGAAGCAGCCCAGATACGTAAGAATTAGGCCATCCTAAACAACTGACAACTTGAGATTCTTTTAAAGCAGACATACTTGTGCTCTTGACTTCACTGTTCTTCTTGTCTCACTTACGATTTTGCTTTTCTGTGAAGCAGCAGTTTCTTGTGCAAGAACAGCTATTGACTGGGTCATACTAAAGCTTCACCTTGCCCAGTCTTTTATGTCACATAGTGGCAGAGAGGGGATGCTGAAAGGGGGAGTGAACAGGGCATGACCAGGGTTTCTTCTTTGTTCCTCTCTCACTTGCAGCCTCCAGTTCTTAAGCTCCAGGAAATTCTGATTCACAGGCTGTGCCCTTAACTCCCATGCTCAGTAACTACTAAGGCCCAGTCCTTTTTTGACTCCGGTTCAGCTGTCAGCTTCCACCTCTTGTGGCAACAAGTTCCCCACTTCAGTTACCTGCTTTGTGCAAGAGTCTACATGCTGTTTTGCATAAGTAGTACCCAGTGGGGTAAAAACAGGTGAAACACAGTAGAATCCCATGCAGTGACCTACCTCTGCAGTTCATTTGCTAAGATCTTTAGTAGTTGAACCTACCTCCTTTCAGAAGCTTGACACTTAGTATTGTCAAAAAGGGAAGTTTTACCAGGAAGACAGCCAACCACCAGATGCTATACAATATCAGACAGTGTCCTCAACTCATTCCCTCAAAATAAGGTACTTTATTAAGCAGTCAAAATACACACGTAACACTTCCTCAGTTCTGAAGTACAATGCAGCCTGCTAAAGAGGTTGAGAACAGTCTTCAAGTAGCCCCAGTATCTGAAGTGGTATTTTCCATATATGGAATCTGACTAACTTGCTCCCTCCTGCTACTGATTTGGCTTGTCCTGGCTCTGCACATCCTCTGTGCTGACTTTGTCTGAGGAAGGTTTAGCTGTTCTGTATTTTGCCCATGGGTGTGGAGTCTCCTCTGCTGCCATTACTTTAAGCCACCAGGTATAGTAGCCACGGAAACCATCAATCTTATCCAGATAGTTGTTCTTTGACTTGTACTGCAAATAAAAACACAAGGGGACAAATTAGAGTCGCTGTAGCCTGCTTTGATTTTACATGCTGGGAAAAGAAAGACTGCTACATAGACAGGCCAATATACCAAGGAGTAGCCAATCTAGTTTAAATGCATCTTTGAAATGACCATTGCAAGGGAGATTTGGAGCCTAGTAGCAAGCACTTAAATGCAGCCTCCTGCTATGTACTACATGTTTATATGTGTATAATACGTTCCCCACCAAAGCAGCATCTAGTCTCATCAGTACCCCTCCACCTGATAATACCTGCTTTTTAGCCTTGATCTTGAATGCCCGTGTTACCTACCCTGTCAAATGAAGGTGGGTACTGAGTTGCAAACTCCAGCTGTTGTATGATAACTTCATTGGGAGACACCTGGTTCCTTCTCATGTCTTGCAAGATCTGTTTAAGGTAAGTGTAGTTCAACCGCTTCACAGCCACATTGATGAGGGTACTATAGATGTGGGTGTTGGGAGTTATCCTAGACCTCTGAAAAAACACACCAACATTAAGTGTTTAAACATGTCTGCTGACCTCCTTGGGACACCCCGCATGAGCAATGCAATAACCTGCAAAGGTGGATCTTAGGTCGCTGTTACAGTGTGACCTCAGCGATGGCCAGGAGCGAGACAGTTAAAGTGTAATTGGTCTCACCCTGCTCCTCCCTGTAAACATACAAATAAGAGGTGTTTCCTTATGGATCCCAGACCGCTGGGGACAAGAGGAAGGGCCCACTGCACAATAAACGCAACTGCCTTTCCTGTAGTTTTTGTGCTTACTCCAACAATCAAATTCTCTTTCCCACTCCCCCTGCACTAGTCTAGGAGTATGGCGCCACAAGAGATCTAGACTCCTTTGGTCAGTTATTTGAGCCCAAAGTAGACACTGGTATAGAAGACAACAGGATCACTGACTGAAGGAACTCTGAAGGTGACTCCCATCTCAGGAGAGTAACATTTCCTGAGCTCTGGCTGTCACTAAACTTCCTGGAGCTCATAGATAGATTTTACCTTCATATCGGATAGTAACTGCAGTCCATCTTTCTCCTTCCAGCAGGCAATTGCCAAGTTACAAAAAGTATGTAGACTGGGTGATAGTCCCCTCTTCACTAGAACTGACAGCAGACCCTGCAACAGAAATCCAGACATTCCAGAGTGGAGGGTTGGTCTCACCCAGGATTAAAAAGCAGCAAACACTTATATGCATATTAGGTCTCAGTACAGTCATTTAGGGGCTCTTACCTTTGCACCTTCTAGGTCTCCCAATTTACTTTTCTTTCTCAGTAAAGTATTAAAGAAAGTCAGATCTACTGGCACTTTATATTCATCCAGGACTGTCAGCAAAGAAGATTCTGACTGGCTCAGAGGTTCCACAAGCTCAGCCAACAGTGTAAAAGTTCTAATATCAGGTGCCACATTGTCCTCTTTCATTTTATTCAAGAACCCTTCCATGTTTCCCATCAAAGCCAATCTGTCGAAAGGTGTAGCTACTGCCCCTAAAGAAACCACATCCTTAGAGATTTTTGAGTCCAATAAGTTGGGTGGGTTGTAAGGCAGCTCCAAATCGGGACCAGGGTTTGCTGAAGGTTGGTCTGAAACAGTTTGATTCCTATCAAAGACCACCAAGTCCCCAGCCATTCTATGTTCTACTCTCTCATTGTTTGCAGCAGCCTGTACAGTTCCCATCCTGGCCTGATTCTTGCCCACAACTCTGTCTTCCTGGCTGACTGACTGTTCCTCAGGCTGTCTGGAATTTCCCCAAAACAGTTGTTTTTCCATGGCTTCCACATCCAGCTGTGCAGCAATTTCACTGGCTGCTTTCTTCTTTTTCCGACCCGATGTGAGCTTTGAGAGAGGCGAGTTCTCCTCTGTGGGTCTCAGCAACAGATCAGAGGCCAGGGCCGGATCACCTATTGCACAATCCCGTGCAGCACAGAGCATTTGGTTGTAGATGAAACCATTAGCTTTTATGCCCAGCTGTCTCATTTGTTGCCAAACCTGTTTTGACAAAAAAGGAGAGAGAGAAAGAAGCTTAAATATGAGATACGTGAAACACTCACACTATTTAGCTAGCGGGATGTTTCTAGTTAGAAGTAATTGGCCATATTTATCTACTGTAATGGACTCAACATGCCCAAGATACCCAGCTGCACAACAGGAATAAAGACTCACCACAGGCAGCTCAGACCACTTCTAAACACTAAACACTCATCCAGACCATCAGCATGATCCTACAGGAAACAATGCAGTGTGGAAAAATACCTGCAAAGCATATCGGAAGCCGTTCTCTTTGTCCTTTATGCAGCCCATAAGAAGGAAGCTGAAGGTCTCTGTAGTGACAACGTGACCTTTATCCACAATTTCCTAGAGGAGAAAGAGATAGTGGGTTAGTTATCAGGGCACCCTGCTTGCAACTAACTGTTATACTGAAAGTGTTCTCCATCAGGCTGGGCAATGGAATCATTGCCTGAAGAATTACCTGCAGCAAACATGAAAGGCTGGAGGAGTTCAAGTACTGAAGCAAAATAATGGCTGCAGAAAAACAGCTGACAGCTACTCCAGTAGCATATTCTCTGTGAGGGAACTACTGAGGACAGTACAAGGAATTCTTTGTATGGGGGTAGAGTGGGTAGAAAAGGAGCAAAACAACAGCTATATATAAATACACTGTAAAGGGGACCCCCCCCCATACCCTTGAGTGTTACATAACTTTCAACACTACCACAGTTGTAGCAATAACTACTCAAGGGAAGAGTTTCACACTGGTCTCTAAAGTTTAGGCTTATCAGGTCCTCTTAAATCAAATGTTTAGTTACCCAGTTTCATTACACAAAACCCTGGATGCAAACACAAGAAACCTGGAATTTAAAGCTACCCCCTCAGTTTAAAAACAAATGCAACATGGCAGTATTACAACCAGGCTGCAAAGCAAACTTTGAATGGAGGCGGAGAGCTGCGTCACACCACAACCTGCTATTTACCTTGAGTACAGTGAAGCATAACCTGAGATCTGAGCAGATGGCACAAGCTTTCAGCAGCGAGTGGTAGGTTATCAGATTCATCTCTAGATTTTTCCTCTTTAGTTCTTCCCATAGCTTGAGGGCACTCTGCAGGCCTGAATCTTTCCAGGGTGATTCAGCACAGGCATTGAACAGGGCTGTATATGTGGGACCCGTAGGGACTAAACCCCGCTTCTTCATCTACCTCAGAGAAAAAGTGAAAGAAAGGATATTTCTTATTGCTTAACACTGACAAATTGGCTCCTTGGAAAAGCTGTTAAATTATATAGGCCCTACAGAATGAAGTTTCAGCAAATACTTGAGTTCTATACTGATACGCCTCCACGAACAGTTAAAGCACTATTTGAAGAGCTTTTGTGAGTCATCTTTTCTAGAATAAGCTCTTGTATTGGGACTGAACACAGAGAGTCATATTTTCGCTCACAAAAGCCTTCTTTACACCCCCTGACAGTGAACCCAGCCACCTAGACAGGCAGGTATAATATTTACATCATTGTAAAGCTGGAATGCCTTCTTCATATAGCCAACCCTGCCACAGCCCCCGATCAGAACAGTGTAGTTCATCTCCTCAGGCCGCAACCGCTCCTCTTTCAGCATCTGTACCTCAAACAGCTGTAGGGCTTCAGCCAGCTACAGAGGAAGAGACAAAAAAAAGCAGGTGGTAATGAAAGCCATTATTTAACATTCAGTGAAACAGGCATACATGCACATATGGAATATGAAGGGGGACTATTTGGTTTTTGCTTCAGGATGCTCCCTCCTTCTCCATTCATTTCTTATGGAGTTAAAGGAATCAAATCCCTTTGGCTCAGAGGGGCCAGAGTGATCCAAAGTCCTCCCCTTCCTTTCTCAGGGACTTTGCTGAACTCCAGGCTTATGCCAACTTGAAAAGGAATAAGGAAGTGACTGCTCTTTCCACACACCACAATGACTTCCATCAGGACAGTAACAAAAGACCACGACAGGCTTGTTCTTCAGACCTTTGCCAATGGCTTAAGGCAAATGCTACGAAAACATCACATTTCCTGTGACTTCCAGGAGCGTCTGAGCCTATGACAGGATACCAGTAATCCCCGTTCAGCCTTGGCATCATGCCGAACATTCAACACTGATGTTACATCCTTGTCAGCCATGAACTAGGATCCATGAACACTTTAACGAATGGCTTGACAATCATTTAATAATGCTTACTGTGAGGCCAACAGCATCCTCCACTACACCTGCATAGATGCGTGGCAGCAGCCTGGCTCCCCTGCCATCTGAGACTGGAGTAGCAATCAACTGTCTTTCTGCAGCCATCCCTCTGCTTCAGTACTTGAATCTCTCCAGTCTTTCATGTTGGCTGCAGGTAATTCTCCAGGAAATTATTCCATTGCCCAGCCCCTTGGACAGCACTTTCAACACAGCAATTCACTGCAAACAGGCTATCATGGCAACTACCCAACTTTCTCTATACACTGTTTGCTTGAGGAGAAAAAGGCCATGTTGTTACTGCACAGACCTTCAGCTTCCTTCTCATGGGCTTCCTTCTCAAGGACAAAGACAGCAGCTTCCAATGTGCCTTACGGGTCTTTTTCCATGCTGCATTGTTTCCTGTAGGACTGTGCCGATGGTTTGGGTGGGTGCTCCATGTTTAGAAGTGGTCTGAGCTGCTTGGGGTGCGTCTTCATTCCTGTTGTGCAGCTTGGCATCTTGGAGAGCACATCAAGCCCATTACAGTAGATAAATACAGCTACTCCTCGCTTAACATCGCTGTTACGTTCTTGAAAAATGCAACTTTAAGCAAAACGACGTTAAGTGAATCCAATTATGTCACAGTAGTTACCTATTAGCAGGCGGCAGCCAAACAACATTATAACTGAACATTGCATGACTTTAAACAAGTAAGTTCTCAAATAGATCATCAACGTAATAACGAAACGATATTCACCAAGGCGACGTTAAGTGAGGAGTACCTGTACAGCCAATCACTACCGACTAGAAGCATCCCACTAGTGAAATGCTCTGGGTATTTCACACCCTTCATTTTTTAAGCTACCTTCTCTATTTTATATATGTTTTTCAAAGCAAGTTTGGCAACAAAAGGCTCAGCTAGCCATAAAGGCTGACAGTCACAATGACAAGCTGCTGCGTGGGGCTGCGCAACACGGGATCTCAGAGCCATGGAAGAGCCTGTGGCTCTCAGCACTTGCATCAGGCACAGCCACAGGCTGTTGACGAGCGCTGGTGGCAACAATTCATTGATTGTAAAGGCTGGAAGATCATTGGGTCCAGCCCCCTGCACCAAGCAGGAAAGGTAACTGGTGACCCCAGCTGGGTGACCATCCAGTCTCCTCTTCCAGGGTAGGCGACTGCACCAGCTCTGGAGGGAGCTTATTCCACAGTCTGGACACCCTAGCGGTGAAGAAGTTTTTTCTAATGTTGAGCCAGGAGTTTGTGGCCATTACTCCCGGTTTTCTCTTCGGGTGCCCTGGTGAACAGTTGCTCATCGAGCCCTTCACATCCTCCCCTAGAGTAGCGGTAAGCTGCTACCAGGCCCCCTCTCAGCCTTCTTTTCCTCCGGCTGGAGTCCCAGGTCCCTCGGCCTTTCCTCACGTGGCTGGGCGTGCAAGTCTCTGATCATCCGGGCGGCTCTTCTCTGGACTCTCTCAAGCGTGTCCACGTCCTTGTGAAAGTGCGGTGCCCAGAATGGGACACAGTCCTCCAGCAGCCGCCTCCCCCGTGCAGAGCACAGCACATTCCCACACTTCCTCCTGGAGGCAACAGGCCACGGTGTCGCAGCAGAGGGACCTCCCTCCACAGAAAAGGAGGGTAGGAAGGCGGGGGGCCAACCCCCTGCTCCAAGCAGGACCATCCCCGAGCTCCATCATCTCAGCCGACGCTTTGTCTACCCGGGTCCTTCCCCTCCCCCCGACTCCCC